TTTGGCAGTAGTATGAGAGAGAAATGGTAACTTAGGTGATTAAAGTATTTATGCCCCTAAGGTGAAGGCTCACTGCTGGTATCTATGAGCCCAGAGAAATTGCCCATGAGGCTGAAAATGAAACACCAGCCAGCAAGTGATGATGTAACTGAGGTGTCCTCAGAGCACTGGGGAAACTGCCCAAGAGATCAACTAGAGCCACCAGAGTGACCTGTCATTGCAGAGTGTAAGAGCTTATTTTGGTGAGTCACATAGTTAGGAATAGTATTTAAGAAAATTGAAACAGAAAGCAAACCAAGAGTAATTCCCTTATCCTTCTCCAGCTCCCAGCCTCACGTCCACTCACAGCAAAGCAGCAAGTGCTCATCCATGGAGCCATCTCTCCAGTCCTGAAATCACCATCTTATAAAAGCATATAACACTCATTAAACAACAATAAAGCCTCATGCAGTTTGCAGAAAAAAAAAAGCATATAACAGACCACCGTGCAACTAGAACTTAACATCCCATGAGGAATGGAGACAAATACTAAGAACTAGCAGTGAAGAAAAAGAAGCAGAACGGACAGTAATGGTGGTCAGCTTCCCTCAGAAACACCCCCCTCCCCAGAACACTCCACACACCCCAGAATACATTCTCCACCCTATGGCCACATTACCCAACACAGTTCTCACTCTGAGCAGAGCAGATTGGACTAGAAAGGGTCTTCTGACTCAAGCTAAGCCAAACATAGTTTCTGTCTTAGAGTTTGGACTGAAGATCACATGATATTTGTATCTACTTTGAGGAAGACTCAAAGGTTTGTATGGCGACATGTTAATAGAGGAACAAGATGCTACCCTCACGTGACTCTTGGAGCCCAAGAGATGAGGAAAGTTGGAAAACAGAAGCCCTGAGAAGACAGTTCAATGTTCAATGGGGTCCTGATGGCTCCAGCTACTCGGCTGAGTTTCCTCACAGACTCTGTAAATGTCCAGGAAACCCAGTCCCTGCTGTGTGTATTCTGTTACTTTCACAAAAACGAAGAGTAAGATCATGCAGAACAAAATTCCTTTGAAGATTATCCCATTTTGGAAAAGAAAAAAGTGTCCTGTCAATAGAAGAGCATGAGAAAAGGGGTTATGTGGAGGGACACAGGTGTCTTTCCTGTTCACATCTCTACAGTGGCCCATATAATACAGAACATGTGCCATTGTGCCAGAAAGAAAAACACCTGTGTGGTACCAACATCAGATGATGGAGCTGGAAACGGCATAAAAAATAGAATACAAAGCCCGTTACTAAACTGCAAATACCTCACATGGGAGGCTGACCAAGACTCACCTGTAACAGCTATACACATGTTGGGTCTAAAAAGGCTTGGACGTGACGCCCAGTGCAACCTCCTGAGCCTGGCTAGCGTTTGTCGACCTGTCTCTGGCCTGTAACCTCCACATGGGGGTGACTCAGCAAGGCCTGATGTAAGACTGCCCCCGTCTAGCTACCTGCCAGCTTGGTGGAATATTATTGGCCCCTACTCCCCACATCACCTTACCCCATCCTAAGATTCCCATCCCCTACCTCAATCCTATATAAGTTTCTGCCTGTTGGAAAAAAACGAGATCCTGCTTCAAGTCTCCCAACTCAGTGTGGTTCTCTCTGGTAACTAGGAGAGGGTCTGGGTCGCTGACACTCACCATCCCACTCAGGCTAAGGGAAGAGACCAGCTGGACCCGCCCTCCCACAGCCCTACCCGCCAGAGAACCCAGCATACACAACCCCCGAATCACCCAGATTTTAAACTTTTAGTTGGTGTAATATATTAAACATACAAAAATGTACTGGATTTTCATGAGTTGAACGTAACTGTGCAATCAGTTTTTGTTTGTCCAGATTTACAACATCAAATAAAGAATCAATTGAATGAGTCTGCATTGCTCTGCTCTTTTGAACATGGTTCTGATTTGTATATTTTCTCAGCCTTTCACACAACCATGTTAGGCTGAACGTTACACCAGTTTTAGAAGAGGAAACTAAGGCTTTAGGGGTTTATCAATATGCCCAAGCTCATGTTGGTAGAAACCAAACTCAGCTCTGACTCCCAGAGTGCTCCTAACTGCTGCCTGCCTTATTTGGGCAAAGTGATATGTGTGTGTGTCAGTAAAAGATTCAAAGATTAAAAATAAGTAATAGACACATAATGTTGCCATTATTGAACTTAGGCCTTACAAAACAAAGCCAGTAATTACATGAGTTACTCTAGACATAGACATAAGAGCAGGAATCAGAGGCAAATAAAAGCATGGTTTAGAAACACAAGCCAGAAGACCAGGCTCACTGTGATAAATGGGATTGGGTTCAGGGACAATGGAAGGGAGACTTGACTGTAGTTGAAAGGTAGATGTTGGCAGAGAACAGGAGCAATGAGAACCATTCCCAAGTTTGCTAGCCTAATAAACTAGGGTGACAACATAATCTAGAATATGGTTGCTTTTGTGCAGAGTGAAAATGTGAATTGATATTCAATATCTGTGTAACCAGGACTGATATTGTACACAAAGAGTTAAATTTTATGACACCATTTTCCAGTGTTTTTCTTTTCTTTTATTCTCTTTCCCTCTCCCTCGGGCCGGTCTCTCTCTCTCTGCATGTGTGATATATATATTCATGTATATATGAGGAAATACCAATGTAAGCATATGTAGGGACACAGGGAATGTCAAATATCTTCTTCTATTGCTCACCTCCTTCTTTTATATTTTTAAAATTAGTTGTTTGATTGGTGTGTGTGTGTGTGTGTGTGTGTGTGTGTACACCATGTGTCATAAAGTATGTGTGGAGAATAGAGAAAAACTTGCAGTTCAGTTCTTTCCTTCTTCCACTCAAGTCCTGGGATTTGGTAGCAAATGCTTTTAGCCACTGAATTATATTGCCATCTTTGATATTGCTTTTGAGACAGGATCTCTCAGTGAACCCCTCTTTCTGCTCAGATGGTTGGCCAGTGAATTACCAGGACCCTCTTGTTTTTAGCCACAGTACTGAAGCTAGAGGCAAAGCCTGGGTTTTAACATATGTACTAGGTACTTAAAATCTTTTCTTTCTTACCCAGCAAGCATTCTTATACCCACAGAGCCACTCCCCAATCCACACTTGTTATTCCTGTGGGTGAAATTAGTGGGATATGCGTTTGGGTTTGTTACTTTGGATGACTCCACATGATAACTAACTAAATAATAATTAATGTGGGAAGAGTGTATGGATTTTTTTAATTAATCCTGGTGAACATCCTCTCTTGAGATCTGTTCGGAATGCTCAGAAAATAATTTGCTTTTGCTTTATACTCAGAAATGACTCACTGAAGTGTCCCAGCCAGTCACCACAGCTGGAGAGACGTCCCAGCAGTTAAGAGGGCTTACGGCTCTTCCAGAGGACCTGAGTTCCATTGCCAGCACTCAGGTAGGCAGTTCATGACTGCCTATAATGCCAGCTACAGGGACTCTGACACCCTCTTCTGACCTTATGACATACACAAGCATGCACACATATAAATATATAGAAGTAAATATTGGGGAAAAAAGAAACCAGTGACTATGTTGGAAGATTTTAGTCAGCACAGTCAACATTTGTTTTATCTAGACAACTGCCTGAAGATCAAAACAAATTCTGAAATTACATATTCATAAATGTGTATTTGCTTCCACAATTAATTTACAAGGTTTTACTCCAAGATATATTTTTCTTCAAAAACAGGATGGTCAGATTCATTTTTCTTCAAGTCTATTAATTTTTTATCTTAAAGGAAAAGCAGTAATCTGTACACTTTAGGGCTATATTTACCTTATTCAACCTTCTTCCATTTCCAAACAAACTGAATAATACAAAGAAGCCAACAAAGAAATAAATGGAAAGAATGAGGAAGGAAATGATAACAAGTAAAAATGCTAGAGCCCAATAAGCACTCAAAATAGAATGCAAGTAGATCAACAAACCTAAAGGGGTGGCTCATCCTTCAGACTTGAGAAACTTGTTTGTTATGTGCATTAATTAAGCATATTTTCTTGCAATACCCTTTTGCTTATGTTTTACAGCTCATCACACACCTGCACTTCTTGATGCCTTTTGCAGCAGGAGATGATCAACAGTTAACACACATTGCTGCTATTGCTTACCAAGAGATGAGCAAAAGTTGACACCGATTGCCTCTATTTCTTACTTACAGCCACAGCCTCCAGGATTTGCTTCACCGCATCAGCAGCGTCACGCTCACTATAATATCCCTTCTCCACAATTCTAAAAAATAAACACAAATACTTCTCAGACACATACATTTAGTTGAATGGGTATTACAGAAAGTTAATCAAATCAACGTCAGAGAAGACACATCTGAACAATTGCAACAGCCTTTTCTAACACCAGGGGAAGATTCCATAAACTGCCATTCTGAAACCTTGGCTTTGCTAAGAAAATGAAAAACATTCATTTTCTCTCAGCTTAAGCTATCCATGCTCTTTGAGGAGAGGCAACTGCCTTATTTTAACTTTAAATTGTACATTATTTTAAACATATGCCAAGTAGATGTTATACTATACGTACCCCAATGACTAATTAATGACCATTCTTTATCTTTGTCCATTTACTTTCTTTCCTGTCTTATTATTTTAAATCAAATATCAGTTACCCAAACAATAGTAAATCTTAAAATCATCAGCATAACTACAATATCATACCTGTAAAATACAGCAAACCTTCAATATTGTCAAACATGCTACATTGTACTTTTCAAAGTTTCTGATCATGTGAAGTTCATTACTGGCTCCATTCTCTATGGTGAGATACCATAGAGCAAAATCACATGAACACACCACCACCAACAACAAAACCAAATATAACAGGCATTAACAATCACTGGTCACTGATATCTCTTAGTATCAACAGGCTATCAGAATGGATTAAAAAAAAAAACAAAAAACAGGACCCATCCTTCTGCTTCGTACAAGAAACACACCTCACAACCTCAAAAAAAGACATTACTTCAGAGTAAAAGGTTGGGAAAAGATTTTTCCAATCGAATAGATATGAGAAACAAGTGGATGTGGCTATCCTAATATCTAACAAAATAGACTTCAAACTAAAATTAATTAAAAGAGACAGAGAAGGTCATTTCATATCATCACAGGAAAAACTCATCAAGATAAAGTCTCAATTCTAAACATCTATGCCCCAAGTACAAGGGTACCCACATTTACTCAGGATAAGGCTTTATCACAAGCATTTTGTGGCAGTCTTCCTGAGTTAGCAGGGTTAGCTTGAAAAACTATGCACAATTATTTCTAGTTGTCTATCAACTATGCAGTCCTTAGAAGTCTCAGGACATTTCGGAAGGCAATGTTTTACCAGCTATAAGTTCCTCATTGTACTTTGGTATAAGTTTCAAGCTTTAACCTAGATGAAGTGTTTATGTGTATTACTTGGTTATAATATAGGTTAAGTGCCTGGTATGAACTGAATCTTTGTATACTCTAAAACTTAGTATGTTAAACCCTAATTTGCCCATGGGTCTGTTCTAATGGCATCAGCTGTTAGGAAGTGGAGTCTCTGGCGAATGACTGGGTCTCAAGAGGGGGGCCCTCATAAGTAGGATTAGTGTTCTTATAGAGGAGATGTTATCCCTCTATAGAGATAGCTGGAGAAACTGAGATAGCTGAGAAAGGTAGTAATCTAGGGTTGGAATCTTGTGGGTGGAGTGATAGCTCAGCTCAGACCTGAAAAGTGAGCCTAAGTTTCACAGATGCAAACATGCAAAGAATAGGGCTAAGTGTGTATGAGAAGCACAGGATCAGGCAGGTAGGAAATCGTTCCTGAAAGTGGAAATAAGGCTACAGTGGGAATTAGAACATGAGGATGGGTGGCAATCTTCATCAATATGTCTTCCTGTCTAACATGAGCCAGGTAGCTAAGGTTTGAATTGGTCCATGGAGGACTACAGATAATAAAGGAATTATCATAGATTTATATACTCACATGCAGATGTGATATATTATGCCAGAGCTCATATGCTAGAAGGATTTATTAACCCCCTAACGAGGAGCAGCAGCATTCTTGAACAGGTACACAGGCCAAAGACCACGTTCTGCTGTCTCCTCTACTTCATCTCAACCTGCATCCACATACTTTACCTTGGCTTCTATGACCCTTCCTCAGATGCTCTTCCAGGATCTTCCTGATAAAAGGAATTCTGTTCTCAGACAATTTTTAATCTTTGTCATGGTGTTAGGTTTCTGGGCTTCAAACATTTCATTATAAATATTTTATAAGCTGAGCTGTCTGCCCAGGCCACTTGAGACTGACTAGTTAAGGTCAATAGCAAGGAACTCTTTATTACAAATATGGGTTTATAGCAGGACTCTGATAATAAGAGAAGATACTAAAGGGCAAACAAAGGAAGATGAAGGTGATGTTGGACACAGGTTCACAGAGCCCGGCAGCAAGCGCTGCTCATAGGAGTCTGTCAATAATTATTCACAGTGTCACAACCAATCATCCAATGGATGGATGGCAGAAAAATTTCAGGCTGAGGCCATCTTGACAACCCCTTGGCAGATGTCCCTTATCACCAGGAGCAAATACACTGGACTTGGAAGTGATGCCCATCCCAGGCACCTTAGCCCTAGGGAGAGATCTTATCAGTGCTTCCTGAAAGAAAACCAGTAAGCAGGGCTATAAGCTCAATGCTAGTTTTGGATGTGACTATAATACTGTAAATCTTTTTAATATTTTAAACTTATAAAGTTATTTAAATGATATCAAAGTGATTCAGGTTTGGCAGAATAGAATACTTGCTTCATGAAGTGACACGAATTCCATTGTACAAGTTAGCTGGCATCTTTTTAAAAGTGGAAATGATGTTGAACATGCTTGAGCAGTGAACAGTTTACATCTCGCTAATTGGGATCTCCTAGCCTGAGGACCACAGGCAGGTTGACTGGCCACAGGCAGACCAAGACATCCAGAGTCTGCTGACATCGAGGTGCTAGTCACGCCACCATCCACCAGGACAGGGAGTGTCTCAGACCCACCTGCACCAACCCTGAGACCCATCAGAGTATTGGACCTGCTTAGACACATGGGAAGAGAACCTTGGACCTGTACCCACCAGGAGAGGAAGAAACCCCATCTGTACCCACTGGAAGAAAGGATGGGAAGACAACACACTCAAGAACAACAACAACAAAAAAATGAATATGGCACCACCAGAGTCTAGGGACTCTACACCAGCAAGACCTGAACATTACAACCAGATGGAAGAAATGACCAGAAGAAAATGACCTTAAAAAAAAAAAACTTTATGAAGATGATAGAGACCCTAAAAGAGGAAATGAGAAAATCCCTCAACATCCTTAGCCATCAGGAAAATGCAAATCAAAACAACTCTGAGATACCATCTTGCTCCTGTCAGAATGGCTAAAATAAAAAATACCAGTGATAACTTATGCTGGAGAGGATGTGGAGAAAGGGGAACACTCCTCCACTACGGGTGGGAGTGCAAACTCATAGAGCCACTTTGGAAATCAGTATGGCAGATCCTCAGGAAAATGGGAATCAGACTACCACACAATCCAGCAATTCCTCTCTTAGGCATATACCCAAAAGAAGCACATTCATACAACAAGGACATCTGTTCACCTATGTACATAGCAACATTATTTGTAATAGCCAGAACCTGGAAGCAACCTAGAAGCCCTTCAACTGAAGAATGGATAAAGAAAATGGAATCTTGAAATTCGCAGGCAAATGGATAGAACTAGAAGAAACCATCCTGAGCAAGGTAACCCAGTCACAAAAAGACAAACATGGTATGTACTCACTCATATATGGATTTCAGACATAGGGTAAAGGATTCCCAGCCTACAATCCATACCACCAGAGAAGCTAGGAAACAAGGAGGACCCTAAGAGAGACATACATGGTCCCCTGGATAAGGGGAAAGGGACAAGATCTCCTGAACTAATTGTGGGCATGGGGGGAGGGGAGAAGGAGTTAGGAGAAAGAGAAGGGGAGAAGAAGAGAGGAGAGGAGGACATGAGGGAGCAGGAAGATTGAGTCAGGGAAAGAATAGAGGAGAGCAAGATGAGAGATACCATAATAGAGGGAGCCATTATAGGTTTAAAGAGAAATCTGACACTAGGAAAATGTCCAAAGATCTACAAGGATGACCCCAACTAACAATATAAGCAATGCTGGAGAGACTACCTTAAATGCCCTTCTTTAATAATGAGATTGATGACTACCTTATATGCCATCTTAGAGCCTTCATCCAGTAGCTGATGGAAGCAGAGGCAGACTCCCACAGCTAAACACTGAGCCCAACTCCTGGAATCCAGTTGTAGAGAGGGAGGAGTGATGAGCAAAGAGATCAAGACTAGACTGAAAAAACCCACAGAGACAGCTGACCTGAACAAGGGGGAGCTCATGGACCCCAATGTGATTGATGGGAATCCAGCATAGGCCCAACCTAGACCCTGAATGTGGTTGTCAGTGAGGAGGCCTGGGCAGTCCATGGGGCCTCTGGTAGTAGATCAGTATTTATTTCTAGTGTACAAATGGACTTTGGGAACCCATTCCACATAGAAGTATACTCTCTCAGCCTAGACACACGGAGGAGGGCCTAGGCCCTGCTCCAAATGATATGACAGACTTTGGAGATCCCCCGTGGAAGGCCTCAACCCCTTGGGGCACAGAAAGGGATGACTTGGGGGGTTGGTGGAGGCAGGGGAGGAGGGGAAGGAAATGGAACCAGGATTGACATGTAAAACAAGATTGTTTCTAATTTAAATTAAAAATAGTTTCACTAGGAAAGCAATACAAGTATACAATATAGTATATGATACTTATTGAATACTACTTAAACTTTCAGTTTAGGAATACCTAAACCACTAAGATGAATAAGTGAAAAAGAGGGAAAAAAACAGTTTACATCTCTATACAAAATGTACTAGTGACTTTGATTTTCAAAAGTAATGAAAGTATTCAATCATGGTGAGGGCTGTAGACCTACAAAAAAAGAAGTCCTTTTTTTTTTTTTCCTTTTTTTGTATCTATATTGAAGCCCATTCCTTTTCATGGTCTATAAAATAACTGGAACATGGCTAAGATACTACCAGAATCTTAAGATCATTTTCAAAGGTCCAAGCCATATGACATGTCTACATGACACAATTCCACAGCACTCCATTGTTAGCTAGGCTAGATGGCTCAGAGCTAAAACAAAATGTCTTCCAGGGTCTTCATGA